CGCCCCCACCGCCCCCACGCCCCTCTACTGCGCTAGAGTAACATCATTTTTTGCACTCACATAAAATACATCTCAACTATGTCAGCATATTACATAGAAGTAAATAATGCGCATAAATTATTAGTAAAAGACAATAAATAAAATGTCGTTTGTAATTAGCGCCAAGAAGAGTTGGCGCGAGGGAAGTCGATGATCACTAAACGCACAAACGAATGTCTTAAGCGTACAAGTGCACTTATTATTTATATTAAGAAAGTAAGCCGCGCCTCACACTGCGCAGTAGGCCGCAGTGAGCCGCCTCGCTGACACTGCGTAGTGGTCCGCAGTGTGTACTGTACTATGTAAGGATATCGAAGCTTTTGCTTAAGTTTTATAGTATTATATAGAGAAATGATTGAACAAGAGAACAGTTCCATTGAATCTGTGATGTAAGTTATTGATAACATATGTTGAAGTTGCCTGCCTTTGTTGTGTTTGGAAAATAATTTACGAAAAGGTGCTTTAATGGTATATGATTCGTTAAAATTAATAATTTTATTAGACTATGTATATTATACTGAGATGGCACGTCGAGGTCGTATTTACAAGTATCGTCCAAAGAGTTAGTAATAAGGTGGGGAGAGAGACACTTTGTATCATCTTTGATATGCGAACAAAATAAAGTATTTCAAATTTATCCATGAGTTTCATTACAGAACCACAAAATCTAACATAGAGTACCTATTATGTACATTTTTAGGGTTCAGTGGCCATCCCCGGACTTATATAGTCGGCTGAGGACGAACATGTTGCATTTGTCAAGCAATTTGCAAGTTGTAAACAGGTGCCATTCACACCATCTCGAGACTAGTATTCATTTAGTTCTTTAATGTGCGATATGGACAGTTTTTCTGTATAAGATTTTGTGTGAAGGACGCTTGTTGTATGTATGTGCGATACGGAGGCTTTTCTGTTTACGGTGTTGTGCGAAACACAAGGTCGAAACGGTGTCTATTAGGATGCCCCTCAAAAGAACGTAAGTTGTTTTTTGTTAAGGTGTGTAGAAGTGGGAAGGAAGTAGAGCGAGGAGATGAGACTACAATCCAGGACTTAGCCTAAATGTTAAGAAAATTTTAGGTGTTTTTTAAGTTCTCAGCGAGTATAAAATGGAATTGTAGCGTTTTACACCCAAACGTGCTTTTATCCATTTCACTCTTCAATAAAGATCTCTCTGCAAAGTCGACCGTGATTATCTGATCGGCCCTATATTATTTTTATATGTGTATGTTATTCTACAGATGTTTTTAATTTGTCTTATTTACTAACTGTTTTATTTTACAGTGCGTATCCCAAAGAAATATGTGTGGAAAAATAAAAAAGAACCATTTAGATGACGAAATAAAAGCTATGGCCTAAATTTAATAAATTTCCAAATAAAACGGAAAAAGGAGTGAGTGCTGTTTTTTTTTGTTAACTCCACCTTGTTCCCACGCAGGTAATAATAGTAACGATGTGTAAATGTAAAGTGCGGCAGTGTTTTAAATCATTTTAATTTCGAAGGTCATAATATATTAAAAATGCATTTCGAAAATAAAATGATTAATGAACTGTCGTACTTGCTAAGTATCACCAACCTCGGCTTGATCGGTTGCTGCATCTGATTACTATCATTATTATTAATATATCTAATATTACTACCAGAGTTATCGCTGGGAGAAATGGCGGAAGAAACTCCAGCAACGCTTCTATCATTAACAGGAGAAAACCTGCCTGCTATGAGGCCGTATCGCGAGAATGATTACCTAAGTCGACTGCGACTACGGCGTGTTGTCTGTTTGCGTAGTTGTTTAATCCTAGCCTGAGCGATTGTTATTGCATCGTCTTAGAAGTACCGAGCGCGATTGCGTTGTAGGTGGCGGCACCTACATCTAACGAATTAGGATGACCGCGGCAGAGTCAAAATAACGACGCGACGCCTGCTTCAGGTGTTAGGCTATGGTGGGTAAGTTCAAGTATATGTGAAGATCATTATTGCGCATGTACCACGGGGCCCCCGTGGCTCTGCGCATGAATCTATTTTGAATCACCTGAAGTCGGTGTATTTATTTCGGCGAGATGTGCGCGAATACCGGGCTAGCATACGTCATGAAGGGACA